TATTTCCCTCCAATTACCCTAATACTGACAAAGGTCTCGTGAGTTACAAATATCATCTTTCCATCTAGGAATGTAAACAGTTCAACTTTAGTAAATCCCTTAAGATTTCTCTCTCCTGTTTACCTCTTCGTGTTTCACTTGAGTCTTATATTTGAAAGTCAGATTTTCTTTTTAGCTCTGATCTTTTTATCAAGAATGCTTGAAAGTCCTCTTTTCACTTGAATGTCCATTTTTTCCCCTGAAGGATTATACTCAGTTTTGCTAGGTAGGTGATTCTTGCCTGTAATCCTGTCTCCTTTGCCCTCCGGAATATCATTCTGGCACAGCTAGATAGTGCAGTGGATAGAGCACTGGCCCTGGATTCAGGAGTACCTGAGTTCAAATCTGGCCTCAGACACGTAACACTTACTAGCTGTGTGACCCTGGGCAAGTCACTTAACTCCATTGCCTAACAAAAAAAAACAAAAACAAAAAAAAACACAGAATATCATATTCCAGGTCCTCTGGTTCCTTAATGTAGAAGCTGCTAAATCTTATGTTATCCTGATTGTGTTTCCACAATACTTGAATTGTTTCTTTCTGACTTCTTGCAATGTTTTCGCCTTGGTCTGGGAACTCTGGAATTTGGCTATAATATTCCTAGGGGTTTTCCTTAGGGGATCTCTTTCAGGAGGTGATATTAGGGCAGTTTTCCTTGATAATTTCTTGAAAGATGATGTCTAGACTCTTTTTTTGATCATGGCTTTCAGGTAGTCCAATAATTTTTAAATTATCTCTCTTGGATCTGTTTTCCAGGTCAGTTGTTTTTTTTTTTTTTTCAGTGAGATATTTCACATTGTCTTCTATTTTTTTCATTCTTTTGTTTTTTACAATGTCTTGATTTCTCACAAAGTCATTAGCTTCCATTTGCTCCATTTGAATTTTTAAGGAAGTATTTATTCTTCAGTGAGCTTTTGGACTTCCTTTTCTATTTGGCCAATTCTGCTTTTGAAGGCATTCTTCTCCTCATTGGCTTTTTGGACCTCTTTTGCCATTTGGATTAGTCTATTTTTTAAGATGTTATTTTCTTCAGTATTTTTTTGGGTCTCCTTTAGCAAGCTTTTGACTTGTTTTTCATGATTTTCTTGCATCCCTCTTCATTTCTCTTCCCAGTTTTCCCTTTACTTCTCTTACTTGCTTCTCAAAATCCTTTTTGAGCTCTTTCATGGCTTGGGACTGATTCATATTTTTCTTGGAGGCTTTGGATGTAGAAGCTTTGACTTTGTTGTCTGGTTGTTTGTTTTGATCTTCTTTGTTACCAAAGAAAGATTCTATGGTCTGACTTTTTTTGCACCTTCGTTTGCTCATGTTTCCAGTCAGTTACTTGAGTTTTAAACTCTTTGTTAGGGTAGGGGGTCTGCTTGCAGTGTGGATAATGTACTGTCCCAAGCTGCAGCAGTTTTGTGCAGTTGTTTTCAGAGATACTTCTAGGGACCTGTAAATTTTCAGTTCTTCCAAGGTGGTAAGATCAAGGGTAAGATGTTTACTCCTTTCCTGGCCTGTGCTCTGGCCTATGAGTGATCAGAGCCACTCTTTTCTGCCTTGGAACTATGAGGAGGATCCTCTCTTCACTGCTGCTACAAGCTCTGCCATGCCAGGACTTCTCCTTGCCCCAGGACCACCACCCAGAACTGTGACCCAGATCCAAGCATGGGCGAAGCATGAGAATCCTGCCTCAGCACCAGCAAAGAGATCCTTGCAATCCCCCTCTGATCAGACACTTGATCCCCTCTCTCTCTGTGGACCAAGAACTCTGGAAGCAGCCACCGCCCAGGACTGGGCTTGGACCAAGCTCCTCTCTCACTGTGGTCACAGACTTTTCCTACTGAATTTCTAAGTTGTCTTTGGCATTTGTCGGTTAAGAAGCCTGCAAACCGCCACAGTTCCCCTTGATTCAGTCACCTGAGGCCTGCTGCAGGTTCCCTGAGGCCTTGTCTTTGTTTGTAGGGCCCAAGATTAACTACGCTTCTCTCCCAGCTCGGCACAATAGACCTTTCTGATCAACCATTCAGGTTGTCTTGGGCTGGAAATTTGTTTCACTCTTGTCTTTTTGTGGGTTCTGCTGCTCTAGAATTTATTTAGAGCCATTTTGTATAGGTATTTGTAGGGGTTTGCGGGAGAGCTCAAGCAAGTCACTGCTTTTACTCCGCCATCTTGGCTCCGCCCCCAGGATTGAAGTTCAAGAAAGAGGTTAGGGCTAGATATGTAGGTATAGGAGTCCTTAGCATAGAATCGATAGTATTCTGAGTCTGGTATGGTGAGGTCCTCCATATGGCGTTGTTGGGCTTTTGTGGGATAACAATATATTGATTACATCAAGCCATAGGACATTGCAGGGCCTCCTAAAAGAGATCTGTAATCACTCAAAGGAATTTGGCCCAAATGGAGGAAGAATTTGTCCACTGCCCAGATTTTAACAATCTAAAGTGACATACTTGTCTAATAATATTTATGTTTGGACAGTGAGGTGGGCCTAGAGTTAAAAGAAGAGAGTATTGGAATGTTTTGTGAAATTGCAAAGCACTTACTGATCCCAAGATTCTTATAGCAACAAAAGCTCACTTTTTTTTTTTTTTTTTTTTTTGGTGAGGCAGTTGGGGTTAAGTGACATTGCCCAGGGTCACACAGCTAGTAAGCATCAAGTGTCTGGTCTGAAACCAGATTTGACCTCAGGTCCTCCTGACTCCAGGGCTGGTGCTGTATCTACTGTGCCACCTAGCTGCCCCCTAAAACCCACTTTTTTCAATATATTTTGTCAGTGTTGCTGTATAACAATGCAACTTCTGTCCTCTACAGAACTAAAGATAAACACAGAGGGTGATGGAAAAGTGCATTGTAGGTGTGAGCAGATTGTAATATATAACCAGCAAGGAACTTTGAAGAACAAGAGTAAAGGATGTCAGTAAAGGATGTCAATAAAGAATTCTAGACAGAAAGAATTTCTAGGCGGAAAGAGAAGGTGGGCTAGTGAAGAGTGTGGAATGTGCGTGGGTAGCTAGGGGATTCCATTGGGGTCCTCATGATATTGGAAGATATTGAGGAGGGTCTCCAGTATGTTGAGTGGACTCTCTGTGTTGAACCTTTGCGAGGACATTGACAAGAGTCGCACAGGATAGGCAGGTTTTTGAGAGAGTCTTTGTTACTTATTATAATAAATTTATTATTGAGAACCTTGGGAAACTCATAATCAGTACTCTTTTTGTAGTTTCTGTTTATGGGAAAGAGATATGTGATGTGAACATGCCAATATCAGATATTAAAAACAACCTCTAGGGTATATATCATAAGGCTAGTGCAAAGTAACCTTTTTTCCTATACTCTCTACAGCTTAGTACTGTAAATTGGTGATATTTATGATGAGATGATCCCAAAAGAGTTTTTTCTGAATCATCAAAGAAAGATAAATTATATTGAATGTATTTTGTGCTGAAAAGTAGGAAAGTAGATCCAGAGCTGGCCTCAGAGTCAAGGTGACTTAGGTTCAGATCCCACTTCTTACATATACTGGTGATGTGATTCTTTGCAAGTCATTTAACCTCTCACTGCCTCAGACAATTCTAGGAGTCTAAGTTTCAGAACTATTGCTTATCTTCATTGGTTGAAGGAGTTTCCTCACCTGGAATTCCCTGAATCAATGAAATAACTGCTTCCAATCAAAAAGAAAAAATACCATTTTGTGTTGTGCATTTTGTTATCTTTTAATGCTTCAAACAGTGGTAATTTTCATATGCTGCACAGTTTGTAGTGGGGAGAGTAAATCTTGTAAAATCTTGATCAGTTTCTTTTTGAGATTAATCTGGTTATGGCAAATTATAATAATGCTATCCTGTATGTAAAATGATGAGTCTGCATATGCTTTGAATTGTTTTTCCACTAGTTACGATGGTTGTGTTGATTCACATACACGGTTTTGTCTGACAGTATGTGTTTGTCAGACCACAGAGTGGTATTGATCATGGAATATAGTGATTCAGCTCACAAATCTGGCCTCAGTTAATACAGTTCAGCCAATATTTATTAACCTCCTTTATTATGTAAGACACTGAGGTCTGAGCTCAGTGGGCATAGCACAGAGGCAGAACATTCTCTAAGAGTGTTGTAATCTTACTTTTTTTGACCATGATGAATCATTGTACTTCATACTGTGAAATAATTTTACCTTTATTTTATACCTCTGGTTGTTTTTAGTCCCAATATTCCTATTCTAAATTAATGGAATAGTTTCCATCAGCCTCCCCAAAGATTATGACTTGCTTCAGCCATTGAGCTCAGCATAGTTTTGACTGAGTGTATATGAGTTACATGTTTCTAAATTAAGTTTGGTCTTTTGAATTGTGCTCTGTGTTCCCAAATTCTGTTGATGTCAAAAGACAGCCAGTTTTGTAGTTTTGTACAGCTTTGACTTCCTATAAATAGAGCCCTTTAAACTTTCTCTCTAAGAACTGTACGGTTTTTTATGATAATTATGTTTCTTTAAGTAGCAACTAAAATTTTAGTAGTGTGTCTGATTGATATTTTCAATTGTTTTTTCCCAAGTAAATCACCTTTTGTTAAAAAATTAAAAATCACCATAATTTACCTTCATAAAATTTTCATAATCACTTTCCACATTCATTTTCATAACCTTATATAATAGAAATATGCTAGTCTCAGAAATTTGATTATTTCATTAACCAAATCTTAACTATTTAGGTAACCCAGATAGTTATATTTTGGTTTTCTGACTCATGCTCACATATTGGATTATTTTTGTTTCATTCCATTTTCATTTTTTGGTTTTCTTTTCTGCCTTTTTTTTTTTTTGTTGTTGTTACAAAAATTAGAAATCAATCATTTTATCCTGGTTAGTTACCTTTTTTAGAGTTTATTTCATGATGACAAAATGTAATTGTGTTTTTTGAAATTCAGATAGAGGAAATTTATTTTCCCCATATAATTTAAAATTAGTATTTCATTTTTAGGTTTGAGTTCTGGGAAGATTTTGAAGATGACCATGGAAAGGGGAGAGAGAATGGTTACCAGAGTCTTCATAAGGTTCTAGAGCCTTTCCTTCTTCGAAGAGTGAAAAAGGATGTAGAAAAATCCCTTCCAGCCAAAGTGGAACAGATTCTCAGGGTGGAGATGTCTGTACTTCAGAAGCAGTATTATAAGTAAGTTACTTCCTGAGTTGGCTGTTAAGTTGTATTGAGGCTGCAGGTGGAAATGCCTTCAGTTGGGCAACCCCCAGTGAAAATCCTGCTTCGCTTTTTTGTTTTTGGCCAATGCTGAATAGTATTGTTTTTCTTTTTTTTTCAAGTCTTCCCATCCCCTTTTTTATTAGCACAAATGGGAATTAGTGCTCAGTTCTTGCTAAATGGTCCAAAGTGTAGCCCAATTCCCAGAGAAATAATGATGCTTTCCCCTATTTCCCCCTTGCGCCAGGAAACAGATCATTATATTAAAGAATGTTCATTAATAACCTTGGAATTGGTACAAAGGGAGGAACATCCTTTCCCATTTGAAGTGGACTATATGCAACAGATATAACACAAAAGGATTTGTGTCCTTGATTTAGGTTTTGTTGTAGGAAGGCCAACACTGGCTTAGATTATGGCTTCCATTATTTATAACTTCACTTCAAAGTTTTGGACCAGTTATTTATATTTGAAAATTAATGTTTCAAAATTAGAAGTCTTCATTAAAATAAAAAATGAAGAAAAGAAGCAGCATCTCATTTAGAGTTATGCTTTGTCAATAATTAGCACACTTAAAAAGTAGTTTTGTTTTTTTTCCCCTCTGTCTTGTTGCTTACAACCTACCTGAATTTGGAGTCCAGTATTTTTCAGTTATTGTGACATGGAAAGGATTATAGTAGTGAGAAAGAAACAATAAGTCTGTAAACAATGAACATAGAATGTGGGAAAAACCACACACTGAAAATAGGCTGAAATTGAGACTGTTTTCCCAGTTTTGCCCTGCTTTTGGAGTAGCTCTTTAACCTAAATAGGCTGTCCTTCCAGTTAAGCTGAGATCTTGAAGAAATTTTACCTTGGTTTAATTTGTCTTTACCAATTCTATGTTTTTTTCATGCTGCCATGCTCATATTCTTTCTTTTCCTTTTTCTTTTTCTTTTTCTTTTTTTTTGTTTTATAAGAAGAGGGAAGTGAATGAGCTAAGAAATTTCACAAATCAATAAAAGGAAAGAAAAGGAAGGAGAAATGAAAACCATGCATCTATTGATGGAAGTTAGAGGAGGGCATCAGTGTATACATTTTCAGCCCAACAGTCTGGCCATATCATAATATTCAGCCATTGTACTGAATATACTTTTTTTTTTTTTTTTGGTACAGGTCTGTCATAGGTTCTAAATCCATTGTTCTGGGCTTGGAAATATGAAAACTCTTTGCACTTGATTGATCCTTGTTAAGGATAACTTGAGAGAAGAAACTGCTTCGTTATTTGTTTTAAAGCTTAATGTGAACGATCATGGTCATGAAGTTGACATGCCTAAATAAAATTATGTATATGATTATAGCTATGAAGGCCTAGAATGAATAGTAAAAACATTCACTTTTCCACTTCCCATTTTTCTTTTCCTTGAAGCCTTTTTCCATTTTCCCCTCCCTTTAGCCTATTATGTTTTAAAATTTGGCCTGATAAATTATATTACTGACATCTGCAGGTGGATTTTGACCAGGAATTACAAGGCCCTCTCCAAAGGGACAAGAGGCAGCACATCTGGCTTCCTTAATATTGTGATGGAACTGAAAAAATGCTGTAACCACTGCTACCTGATTAAGCCTCCTGAAGAGAACGAACGTGAAAATGGGCAGGAGATTTTGCTGGTGGGTCCTTACTCTGTGCATAATAAGTATCTTTTTCTAAAAATCCACAAACAAATCCACAACAAAATAAAATCTACAACAAAAACTCACCTATCATAGCTACCTTCAAATTAATTCTTTTCTGTCTCATTCTTTTCTAAATTTGGTTTAGGGGAAGCTTTTCTTTTCTATTCAAGACTTTTTTATTTATTTGAAGAAATTATCTGTTTAAATTAACCAATGAAGAAATTAAGGTTGTAGATTCTTTTTTAATGACTTAATTCTTTAGTTAAAAATGCTTTTAAGTTGGGCAGCTAGGTGATGCAGTGGATAGATGGCCGGTAGGCCTTGGAGTCAGGAGAACCTGAGTTCAAATTTGGCTTCAGACACATAATGCTCACTAGCTGTGTGACTCTGGGCAAGTCACTTAATTCCAATTGCCTCACCAAAAAAAAAATTCTTTCAAGAAACATTCTGAATACCTCTTTTATACTTAACATCAGTGCTGTGGGAAATGGAAAAATACACAATAAATAGTTCATTGAGGACAAGGGACCTTTATGATCTTCCTGAGATGCCAGGATTTATATAGATTAAAAACTTAGGGTAATAAATAGAGATAGAGTGTGCAGTAAGTTGCTAAAGTGATTATAATCAAGTGCCACAGGTAAGAGAAATCAAAGTTAGGAAAGATATAGGTTTGGTAATTATTCTCGTAGAGAAGATAATGGAAACCATGTAGATGAGCAGTGCCTAATAGATGAATTCTGGGAATACTAAAAGGCAGGAAGAGAAGAAGGAACTACCCAAAAGAGACAGAGAAATAAGAGCCGGGAAAGTACAATAGCATAACCATGGGAGGTGACAGTTTAAAAAAAAACATCGATCACTGCTGTTACATACTTTAGAAAGTTTGAAAAGTGTGAGAACAGAGAGAAGACACTGGATTGGTAATTTTCTTAAGAACATTTGTAGTAAAGTAGTGGTGGTAGAAGTCAGATTGTAAAGTGGTTATTAACAGAGGGGTATGACCAGGTCCCAAACCAGATTATATAAAAAGCATCTATGAGAAGAAGAATCCTTTGAAGTCAAGAACAGTTTTATGTGTAGAAATGGGGAAATGTTTCAGCCTCATGATTGGAATGACTTTTAGTTCTTCAGTCCCTGATCAGGAGCAGTGGGAAGCTGATCCTTTTAGACAAACTATTAACAAGACTTCGAGAGAGGGGGAACAGAGTTCTGATCTTCTCCCAGATGGTGAGGATGCTGGATATCCTGGCTGAATACCTGACTATTAAGCATTATCCTTTCCAGGTGAGTATAATCAGTAATTGGAGTTGCAAGCTTAATAAGCTGACCCACAGTGGGAAAAAGTCAGCACTCTTTTAATTGTCTTAAATCTAGAAGTAAGTCTAAGAAGGGTCTTATATTGAAATAACTTATTCTGGGCTTTCTCCTTCATAAAATATTCATATGAAGGTCACTTTTTAATTTGAGAAAGAAAAAGCAAATAAAAGTAAGGTGGGTTTGCTTCTTACATCTCTAAATAATGGAGAGGAAAAATTGGTTGTCTGATATGGGAATCACAGGAACTCAAGAAATGTAGTACAAACCAGAAAAAAAAAGTAACACAGTATGTTGTTTTATAAATTTTCAGTGAACTTAGAATTGAATCTGGAGATATAGCCTACTTTGAACTGGTTCTTTTTTTGTTAGTCCACTGATTTCTGGAATAAGTTTTTTAATAGAATGTAAACTATTTACTGCTACTTCCTGACAATCATTCAGGTATATGTTCTTGAGATTTACTCAGGAAAAAATCTTATCATATGGATATTAAAGGATTTTGGCAGAGATTTCTCTGATAGTGGTTTATATAGTGAATAGGTGAATTATATGTTTTGTTTCTGTTTGTACAGTGGATTAAGTTAAAGATTTGTTTCTAACTTGTTTGACTGGAATGGCAATCCCATCAACTAGTGTCATAATTTATATATTAGGTTTAAAGGAACTTTTGAGTCAGTAGGTATCAGATTTCCCTTCTTAAATCCTACCCTCAGAGCCTCCAGCAGATCTTCTTCCAAAATGTTCTGAAGAGCACTGTTTAGAATTTCTAGGCTTTTATGTTATTTTTCTTTAATAATTTTCTTTCAGTAGTGTTTTATAGTGTGGCTGTTCCACGGAAATAGATTCTCTCTTAGTGTATTTGATCCCTCAGTTGCTTTTACTTTAGTGACTTATGAATGCCAAATAAAATCAGAAGGTAATCTTATTCTCTTTGTGCAACCATCTGTTTTCTTTCTGCAAGAGCTGAGGTGGAACCCATTCCTTTCTGGTTCTTGTGTCATAGTAGCTTAGGTCATTGGGTCATCTCCCTTACTAGCAGCAATGAACTGGATTTTTCTGATTTCAGAATGTAGAATGGGATACTGTAGACCATATTTCCTTTTGACTTCCTTTTGGCTGAAAAATCAAATGGCATTTGTATTCTCTGGGAGAGAGGGAATGAAGTTATAAGACAATGATGTGGTTAGACTAAAGAATGCTAGACTGGGAATTTAGAGAAAAGTCAGGTTTATTCCTAACTTTTCCACCAATTGTGTGACCTTGGGTAATTTAATTTTTCTAATCTTGGTTTCATCTTCTATAAAATAGAGATGATAATAGCTATCTTACCCGTCTCATATGAAAGTTGTGAGGTAGAAATCAAATAATGTATATAAAAGTGTTCCCTAAAAGTTAAATATGTTTTGTGTAATATAATGAGCAGTGTGTTGCATGTGTGTGTACATATGTTTATATATACACACATGTTGTTACATTAATGGTATTTGAACTACTTTAATAAAAAGTTTATCACAAATTAAATTTATGTGATTTTAAAAAAAATTGCTTAAATCATTTGTAAGCTTAGCAGGGTTTCCTTAGGAAATACTTTTCCCTAGACACACATCATTGTAATCAATTGTATTGCTTCTCACTGCAAACTTGTTTGGTACCTACAAATATAATTAAAACAAAGCAGTTAAGCAAGGATTGGGTTGCCATCATTTTCTTTATAGTCCTTGGTGTAAGGTCTTATCCTCAGATTCTCCTAAAACAGAACACTTTGAATCATAGCCTTTCAGCTATGATCTTGTAACAAGAGATCCCATGTCATGGGGTATGCTGCCTAAGCAGAGTCCTTACTTACATAGACCTAGCCAGGGCCTTCAGGTTATTTTTAATCTCTGCCTAGTGGGGACAAATGAAGGTTGCAAGCCTGTAGTGTTTTCGGCTTTTGGTGCAGCTGGTCTTCCATGACTGTTAATTCTTTGCTGATTTATTTCTACAGCGTCTGGATGGTTCAATTAAGGGAGAAATCCGAAAGCAGGCACTGGACCACTTCAATGCAGATGGATCTGAGGTATAGCATTCTCTGTCTGGCTTTGTTACTTGAGCAGCTTAGAGTCTAAATCAATAATAATAATTGTAGTTCAGATGTTATATAGTACTTTACTGTTTACGAAGTGTTTTCCCTACAATACTGTGAGGAAGGTAGTGAGGGAAGACTAAAATTTAATATTCTGAGTTTTAGGAACTATTCATTATCACCATCTCCCTTTCTGCCTTAGAAAAACAGTAAGAATTCCCAAACCTTGACAAGATCACATTAATAATTTGTCTCTTAGAAAGCAGGCTTCTTTATATGTGCTTCCCTTCCCAGACTTGAATAATAAATAAATTCTGCTAGCAGCGATGTCATGCTATATGGTTCATGTGATAAAATTGCTGGGACTTGGAGGACAGCAAGGCAAGAGGATGGGTTAGTTTGTGAGGAGGATTAGCTTTGATGAGATGATAACATCAAAAGCTTCTATGTTAGAAAGAACTGAATTCTTATTAGGGCTGTGCCACTCTTTGGATGTGGCTGAGGATGAACTATATGGGTTTCCTTTTGATTCGTTTTAACTAGGAGAGAACAAGAGATATGTACCACTTAAAAACATCCATTTAAATTTCTTTTGAGCTTCCTTTACACTATTATATAATAGTTGGTACTTTTATTATTCCTGATTTTAGTAACAGGGATATTTTTCATCCAGTCAGCCAGCTGGTTCCAGCTTTGTACTAAATCAGTACATATTAAGTGTCTATGTTGTACCACTGTGCTAAGTGTTGGGAGAAGTACAAGGCAGTTCCTTCTGTTGTGGATTTTACAAGAGGATCAAGTGAAGTAATTAGAAAAAGTATTAGATAATATATGATAAGTCAATCGAGTGTTAAATTGTGTGGTTTTAGACTGTAGATAGCATAGGATTTCAGAAAGCAAAAAGAATGGAAGCTGTGTGGAGGTGGGAATGCCGAAGTGTCAGATTTAAAGGGGCAGAGAAGAAAACAAGAGGCAGAGAAACAGTGGGAAAACCAGATAAGTCAGACATCTCTGGGGGAGGGGTGTCAGTAATTCCTGAAGCCAGAGTATGTTTTGAACACAGGTGACAGATTTGTTTTCCTCCCAGCTGTAGGGCATAGAACACTCTTAAAATAATTGTGTGTGTTCATCAGTAATTGTACTCTCTTTGCTTTGAGGCCAAGGGTGGGGATCCTCTGGGCATTGGCGTAGTTTCATTTGGCAGAAAAGCAAAACCAGGAAGACCAGTTAGTTGTCAGATTTGTTATGAAGAGGATTCCATTCATATATGAGTGAGACCAGATGGTCACTGAGGTCTCTTCTAAGTCTCAAATTCTCTGATTTTTGTGGACTGAATAAGATAATGTTGCTTTGGTTACTGTTGTATTATTATAGTAAAAAATGATTTACTCTCAGTGGCTACTCTGGCTAAACTATTCAGAGCAGAACTTAAAAAGGTTTAAGAATAAAAGGTAGTTGATGAAGCTTTGGATAGTGGTTAAATTCCTGTTATCTCTCTTTTCTTCTTTTTCCCTCCCTCTCTTCTCTCTCTGTATCTGTTTCTGTTTCTTTCTCTCATAAAGTTTTGTTACCTGTTTCTACTTAAAACAAAGAAACACATGATCTGAAAATTTTATGTTTCCCTCTCCAAGATAGAAATAAAATTGTGTTGCTTTTTTGGTGTGGGATAGAGGAAGGACTCAGTAGACAAATGATTCCTACCCTTCATCTATAAAACCTAATCCTTTTGAGTTTTGGACTTTTTTTTAAAGGGGGTTATCTTTCATCCTGAAGTGAGAAGTTCCATCTAGAGTATCATGTGTTATTAATTTCTAAATGGAAAGACTTAGTTCTGCCTTTTTTTTTTCTTCTTTTCATGAAACCCCTGCTGGTCAATCCTTACTGGGTCCACTGGCTATGACTTAGCCATCCACTTTGAATATTTCCATATCTAATTGCTAACAAACATGACTGCCAGTTGGAAAGTGAAGACTATTTTATCATCATCATTTGGGCAAAACTCAGATAATTTTTGACTTGTATTTATATAAATATGTGTATATGTATTCATACTAAAACACTAATTACATTTCTAACAAAATTTTACGAATACATTAAAATGTAACCATGACCCCCACCTCCCAAGTACTTGAAGACAGACATCTGGATAAAAATTTTCTTCTAATATACTTTTCGTTCTTCATATTTCTTTTTTTTTTAAATTAATTAATTTATTTTTAATTTTCAACATTCACTTCCATAAGATTTTGAGTTCTAAATTTTCTCTTCTTCCCTCCTCATTCCCCAAGACAACGTGCAATTTGATTTAGGCTCTACATATACATTCATATTAAACATATTTTCACATAAGTCATGTTGGAAAGAATGGGAGTAACCACAAGAAGGAAGAAACAAAAAAAGCAAAAAAAAAGCAAGTAGTATGCTTCAATCTTCATTCAGACTCCATAGTTCTTTTTCTGGATGTGGATAGCATTTTCCATCATGAGTCTGTTGGAGTTCTCTTAGATCCTTGCATTGCTAAGAAGAGCTTAAATCTATCATATTCTTAGTATTTCTTTGTGCAATACCAAATCCTGACTTTGAACTATTTCTATGTAATTTCTATTGTTCTCATCACCATGACATATGAATCATGTATAAACCTCTGTGCCATTTTGTGGGCTGGTTTTTTTCTATACTTGGACCCTTATCTTAAATATACATACCCTTCTGTACTTTATTTTATCTGTCTTTCTACTGCTGTAATCTATTTGATATTCCTGTGTTCTTTACTAGTCCTAAGAAATGGATAAACATTCGAACCTGAAAAGTATTTTCATGTGCCATTTTATATTGAGTGTTTTACTGAATTTTATCCACCACAGAAAAGTGAATTAAGAAAAACTACGTTAAGAGCATTGTTTGTGATTGTGTAATTACATGTCTTTGGATATGGAATAAAGCAGTATGGTGTTAATGAAAAGAGCATTGGAATTAGAGGCCCTGAGTTTGAATTCTGGTTCTGCTACTCAACTGTTATATGACTACTGTCAAGTAATTCCCTCTCTCAGGTCTTGTTTTTCTCATTTTTAAATATGGGTAATGAAGTGCCTGTTATGCTTTTTCAGACTTTAACCCCTCCTTTCGTGAACTGCTTGCTCTTTCCTCTTTTATGATGAAATTTCACTTTGCCATCAGGTCCTGGTCATTCTTTTAGCTTCCATAAAGTTTGCCCATCATATCTTAACTTTTCTTCACAACTGCAGGGGTTTCCAGGGATACAGGGCTTATTGGAGTATGAAACTGTTTCTGAGACAGACACGACATAAAGTGGTGTATTGCCTTATGTACAGGACTTCTGCTTTCTGCTCTCTACACGGGCGGGTGGCCTAGGAATTAACTTGGCTTCAGCGGATACTGTGGTCATCTTCGACTCTGACTGGAACCCCCAGAATGACTTACAAGCCCAAGCCCGAGCACATCGGATTGGACAGAAGAAGCAGGTTAGAGGAAATGTCAGGATATCTCTACCTTTAGTCTGCAGGGATTCAGCCCTTTTATGACCCATATGTAAACTGCAATGTGTCCCAAAAGTCTTAGTGTGGTTTTAAGCAATTAAAGCTATGACCTTTGGGTAACTTGTGCTTTCCTCCCATTTTATCCCATTTCAGCTAGTGTAGACATCTGCTGGATAATAATAAAGGATAGTACCTTTTTGCACTTAAATGGATTTCCTATTTTGTGTGTGTGTATGTGTACACACACACACACACACACACACCCACCACTTGAGAGTGTAGATAGTACACCACTAGGGTTTCTTGTGAGCTTTACCCTAAAGATGGTATTATTTTGCATGGATATAGGATAGGTAATTTCTCCCCTCACTATGTTTGGGTAATCATTACCTATCATTCTCTTCAGTGAGCCCTGTTTCCTTGTTTTTCCCACTAGCCAGATATTCCCATACATGTTATGGTTAGAAGTATTCTATAGATGGCTTTTCATGGAGCATTTCATTTAATAATGGTGTAGAAATCTATCTTTGTGTGTCATTTATACAATTTATTGTTGATATAGCTTAATCAAAAAAACCATTTTTGTCTTGTGTTTAATATTTCTTTGATTTTTATTGCAATATGACCACTAATAGCAGTCTTTATACCTTTATTTAATAACTTTTATTTAAAATGAGTATCTGCTATATTAAAAATACATGTCTGATTAAGACTACTACCTGAATGGATAGAGTATAATAATTTACATTTCAAGCAGAATAGAATTGACCTTTTCCCCCTAAATGAGGCATCACATCAGTTGTTCTCTGGGTAGAGCTAGAGAATTTGCACAGTACATGTCAGATGCAATCCTCCTTTTACTTTGCTCTACAGGTGAACATTTACCGCTTGGTTACAAAGGGGACAGTAGAGGAAGAGATCATTGAACGAGCCAAAAAGAAGATGGTACTGGATCATTTAGTGATCCAGCGTATGGATACCACAGGCCGTACTGTCTTGGATAACAACTCGGGCAGGTCGAAGTAAGTACTTGATGCAGGGAATGAAAGAGATCCAGCTGAATATCGGCTGTAGACTGTGTCTTGTCAATCAGGTGTCACTGTGCTTGACATGAGGAGTTCATTCAGAAGTCACGTTGGAAATTCCTGGCTACTGAACAAAAGAAAGTATATTAACATCTATGTTGTTGTTTTTTGGGTGGGGGGAGGGTTGTTTTTATTTCCTCATTTTCTCTCTTTTTTTTATATCCTAGCACTTGCTCCAGTTATTTTCTCTTGGATCTTACGGTCTATCTACTCTTTTTGTTTCTTGGTCTTTTCCTTTTGCTTTCAATTCAATAAGCATTTCTTAGGTGCCAATGTACGATGTGTTAGGTATATAAAAATTTAAAAAAAATCAGTAATTGCCTTTTATTGAGGGGATGCGACATGTAACACAGATAAGTAAATACAAAAGAAATCCAAAGCAGTTACAAAGTAATTTGCAGAGAGATCACTAGTGGTGCTTCCCTTGAAGGAAGCTAGGCATTCTAAGAGGTAGAAGAGAAAGAATGTGCACTCATCCTGGAGGTCAGCCAGAGTGAAGGTGCAGAGGTGGACCCAGCAGTATTGTGTATTATAGGCCAGTGTGGCTGGAAAGGGAGTGTTTGGGAAGGAGAATGATATTTAGTAAACCTAGAAAGGGAGCCTGGATACAGATTGTGGAGGGTTTCAAGTACCAGAGGAGTTAGTATTTAATCCTAGGAAGTTGCTTCTTGGTCAGGAAAGTCAGATCTGTGCTTACAGTAATATCTGCCTCTAAGCTACCAAGCAGTTGTAACAGGAGTTTTAACATTTTCCTACCAGACTTTAATCCCAAACACTATTTGACTTTTGACTATTTGACTGTTAGCTATTAATCAGCACAAGTGAATCAACTAGAATCATAATCTTTTTCTTACTCTTCATAAAAATGTTTGTGTTTGGATTCTTAGTTTCTTTCATTTAATAATTGATGTGATATTGAAAACAGGAATGGTATAGAAAGTAGGAGAAAGTATATTTATTTAGTTGTCTTTAGGAAAGAGGACAACTATTTCTTGGTAACTGCATGTTTCAAATTGTATTTTCTGGTTGGGTTTTTATTTTATTTTATTTTTTTAGTTACGGGAAGAAGGGACGTAGACTTGAATTGGATGTTTGATTCTAGAAGTTTTATAATATTTGGGCGCAAAAAAGGGGTTGACTCGAATCTGTTTGTTAATATACATGGAAATTTCAGTGTATGGAGTGAATTTGTTTGGGAAAAGCTTCATTCCTTTGTATGTGGTTGGACTCAAGCAACTGGAAAGATACTTTGTGATTGGCACCCCACTGGGCAAATTATTCTTAAAGCCAAAAATGTGTTAGGAATTTCTTTCTTCAGAGTTGTTTAGAAATATTCCTTGATGAGCAAGGTAACTGCTGAGGAAAACATGGAAATGCCTTTGTCATTTTATTCACACCGCATAGAGGGAGATTGCCTTAACAACATTCCATTCTATTGATGAATAAGGTATCTGAAGAGGCTAAAGCCCTGTCTTTCATGGTTGGGAAGGTATAGAATATTTTTTCTTGGGTATGTGTTAGGAAAGGGTGGCTCCATTAAGTATTTCAGATGACAACTACCTTTTCCCTTCCTTGCAGTTCTAATCCTTTCAACAAAGAAGAGCTCACAGCTATTTTGAAATTTGGAGCAGAAGATCTCTTCAAAGAACTAGAAGGGGAGGAGTCAGAGCCTCAGGTGATTAAACATGTTGGGGGAGAATATTGGCATACATATATGTGTATATGTATAGGTATTACATATGTATGTATTATGTGTATATTTTTCCTCTTTTTGAGAGTTCTAAGGAATTTCTTTTCCAGAAGCACATTCTGAGTTTTGCCTAAAAATTGTTCCAGAATAAATTACTTAAGGGAACTAGCCAATTTTACTTTATTTTGTCCAAGTTTCTATAAAATTAAATGGGACAATTTGAGGAATGGTGATGAAGGTTCTCTCTTTTTGCCTGCTGGTTCTGGTGGCTTTAGAATTATTTATTATTATTTAGTCTTTATACTGAGTTTTAATTTAATTATTTATGTTCCAAGTTCTCTTCAGCAATTAAGATTAGGTTTGAAAGTTATAGAGATGATAAGAAATGGGGGAGTTAGAGAACAAACTTTTGAGGCAGTTGGCCTAGGCATATCAGTACTTTTTTTTTGAGCTAGACAGTGGGGTTAAGTGACTTGGCAAGGGTCACAAAGCTAGTAAGTGTTGTGTGTGTGAGGCTGGATTTGAACTTAGGTCCTCCTGAATCCAGGGCCAGTGCTCTATCTACTGCGCCACCTAGCTGCCCCACATCAGTACTTTTTAATGAATGCATCGATACTTTTAATATGACTTTATTGAAGAGTGCAATTTTTTAATAATCTTAGTTTAAATTATATGTCTGTTGATTTTTAACCTCCTAGGAAATGGACATAGATGAAATTTTACGATTGGCTGAAACCAGAGAGAATGAAGTGTCGACAAGTGCAACCGATGAGCTTCTATCGCAGTTCAAGGTATGGAGCCAACATCTAGTCTTGTGTAACAAAATGTCTTTAGTGTTGGAGTTTGGTTTAAGTGTGAACCCCCATTCGTGTTATTCCATGGAGTATAAATAAAATAAGGGCTTTTGTGGTAGTGAAAAATAAAGCCTTTTTGCAAATTTAATTAGAACCTCCATAATTTATTGATATCATTCCTTACATGGTTTGCCAACTTGGCTTTTCTGTGGTATCTTACTCACATGGTGGTGTCTTCTGCCCCAAACCTTTAGTTTTCCAAGTTGAAAATTGTATTTCTGGAGTTTGCTGCTACTTCCTGAATCTTTAAATGTCTTATAGTATAATTTTAAAAATGACAACTTTGGAAGAATTTTTTCACGTAAGACAATATTATTGTCATTAATAATATTATTTGCTATTACTATTAGTAATAATGCTGTTCATAGTGTGAACAACATTACTATTGTTATTAATAATAATTGCTAGCATTTGTTTAGCCCTTTAAGGTTTGCAAAATGCTTTATAAGTAGGTGTTGTTATTACTATTACAGATGAGGAAGCTAAGGCAAATAGTGGTTAAATGACTTGCTTAGGGTCTCACATATCTAGTGTCTGAGGCTAAATTTGAACCCAGATCTTCCAGACTCTACATCTAGCATTTTATCCACTTTACCACCTAGATGCCAAATTATCACTTTGTACTTTCTTTCAACATTAATGTAATAAATAAACTTAGAATTCATAGTAGTTAACAAAGTATTATAATGTACTGCTATAATAAATAGTCTATAGTAAAAAAATGTCTGTTTCTCAAAGCTTGAGTCTACATTTCTCTGTTTGAACATTTTAATTAACCTTAAGATTAACATTGAGTTGACATCACTTAACATCAATTTTCACTCAGCAGCATTAAAAAGAACACTAGATCTATAAAGTTTTATCCTGGCCCTTGTGAGGCCTCCAGGAACCTGCCTCACATTATCCCCTGAAATATGTAGGGTTTTCTTTGAAGAAACTCATCCACAGCAAAGCAGTGGCCCGTGTTACAAATGTAACATAAATATCAGCATTGATACACTGCACTGCAAATAATGACATTTGAGTCTTAACTCAACTAGATTTCTGCATCTTCCACTTCACCTCTCTTGGCCTCAGTTTCTGCATCTGTAAAATTACAAGGTTGGACCGAATAATATCAACCTTCTCAGCATCATCCTTCTGTCTTTCTTTTTCCTGATCACAAAACCAGAGTATTCTTATGACTTAGGAAGACTGATTCCTCCATCTTTGCTCTTGATCCCACTTCCTCTTCTCTTCTCTAGTTCTTTTGTCAAACATTTCTCTTTTCCTTATATGTCTTCAGGCTTTCCTTCCTTTCTTTCTTCCTACAATCATTCTCAGATCTCCCTATTCACAGAAAGGCCTTGACTGTTTTATCTTTTGGCCCCATCCATTTGCTATTTCTTTTCTCTCCTCATCATTGCTAAGCTTTTTGAAAAAAACTGTCTATAACTAATGACTCTACTTTCTTGTTACACACAGTTGTTTCAGTTTCTTACTATTGGGCTTCTACTTCCAACTATTTTACTGAAACTGCTTTCTTTAAGGTCACACCAGTGACTGCCTAATCATGAAACTAATGGTCTTAAGTCCTCGAATGCTTTGACCCTTTGGCAATTTGACTTTTAGACTACACCCTCGCAAGTGTATACAATTCTGTTTTTAGATTTCAGAGACAAACTCTTGGGGTGCTTTGAATTGCTTTTCTCTATCTCCTTCAATTGACTCTCTATCGTCTTCTTGACCTCTTAATGTGCATGTGCTCTGTATGTTTTCCTTTTGCAGTCTTGTTGAGTTTCACAGATTTATTACAACTTGTATGTAGATGATTTACTTAATCTGCCAGGCTATTTGATATATTTTTCAGGGCTCCAGACTTTCATTTCTGCCTGGGTGTCCCGCTGCAATGGGAGCTGGACACCATCTTTATTCACATATGCTATAATTTATTAACCCTTCTTTTTTATTTTTTTAAAATTTATTTTATTTTTAATTTATGACATAAGCATTTCCATAACATAGTAGAATTAAAAAAAAGATGATTGCACATTAAACTGCAACTCTATTATGTACAACTTGCTGTTCCTTTTAAATACATAATAAAGTTATCATATAACTTTCTTTTTTTTCCTCTTTTTCTCCCCCTCCATGACTACCATTAGACACAAGTGAGTGTGTATCTATATGTATTTAAAATCATTTTGTACATACGTCTTTTTATCAGTTTTTTCTCTAATATGTACTTATAGCTCTACGTATTTCACTCATTCTGCAAACATTTATTAAGGACCTCATTTAAGCAATAGTGGATAGGAGGAGAAGGTGACTTTAAAGACAGGAAAACTTAGGTTCCAGAACTGTTTCCAACGTATGCTGGCTGTGTTACCCTGGGCAAGACATTTAACCTCTCAGTGCCCCAAGCCACATCCCTTAAGGTTTCTCAAGAGTGTGACATGGCCCAACCTGTTCATTAGGATAGTTATTTTGCTACGTGGAGGCTGGATTGGAGAGGGAGAGGCTAAGTGGGCTAAGTAATTGGCTAAGTATAATAGTCAGTAGGAAGTCCTAAGTGCCTACTATGTGCCAGGCACTGTGCTAGCACTGGGGATAAAAAGAAAGGCAAAAAACAATTCCTTCTCTCATGTAGCTCACGGTCTAATGAATGAGACAGCATGTAAATACTTATGCACAGATAAGCTACACACAGGATAGATTAGGGAAAGTCCTCAGAAGGAAGGCACTGGAATTATGGTGGAATAGGTAAGGCTTCTTATGGAAAGTGGCATTTTAGTTGAGACTCGAAGGAATCCAGAAATGGAGATAGGGAATATAATAATGCAAGTTAATGCAAGAATATAATATAATACAAGTTGAGGTCACGTAAGTGAAGGAAGAGGACAAACGTAAGAAATGTAGTGATATCTGGTAGGTCCTTACAACTGATTTGATATAGGGGATAAGGGAGAAGGATAATAAGATGACTTTGGGTGATAACTCTGGGTTGTTGGGAGAATGACAGTACTGTCAGGAGAAATCCTGAAGTTTGGAGGAAAGACAGGGTCAGTATAGGAAAGATGATGAGTTTTGGCCTTTGGCATTCTCCTGTAAATTATTCTCTGTCCCAGGAAATAACTTTCAGTAGATATGAAAAAATATCAAATGTCAAAATATGAAATTACTTTGTCTTTCACATGCACACAAATATATGAGGTTGCTCTAGTTTATTATTCTTGAATATTTCATGTCAAGGTTTTCTCTTCTTAAGCCTAAAATAAAATCCTTTTCCTAAAGTCAGTTTTCTGAATTGATATGATATTCATTCTGAATTGGGCAACAAATTGGTATGCTTTGCTAGTAAGGCAGAACATTTGAAGGTCAAAATGGAAAAAATTTCACTTTAAATTAGCTGGGTTCTGATATTTGGTATTTTAATTAAAAGTCAATAGAGCATCCAGTGTGATGAGGAACAACTGTTGCTTTGAATTTTGCACTCTAAAAAACCTGACAAACTTCTGTTGAATAGCAGTTTGTCACCTTTATAGAAGTATCAATATCAGTTTATTATGGACTAATAAATGGAGATCAACATTTTATATCTTAATTAAAACCTATGTAAATTTGCCAATTAATATCAGACAACTTATTTTACTAAAAATATAAGTGATTCAAGTATAAAACATGTAAGACTTTGTATTTATGTTTGTGTTCGGTCTTTGCAAAAGTTCTAATGGGGGATAATTTAGAGAAGGAAATGAGTATGATAATACTTTATCTGTAAAGATAATATAAATGATACCCATAATCTGATTTTTTTAATTAAAAATCTTCTTTAACATTCTATCATAAGTTTTAGAAATTAAGAAAAAGTCTGTGTGACAAAATAGAGGTGGGTAAGGAGGAGATGGCACTTCATCTTTTAGGGCCAAGGATGATCTAAGTAACTTTTTTATTTGCTATCCAGTGGGGGAAAACCTCCTGCTCATTGACCTAAAGGGAGAATGTTACTTCAGAACTGTTCATCCAAGGGAACAAGGCATCTTGAAATCTCAGCTTCCTGGTATTCTGAGTCATATGGCATGTTATTGGCTTGATAGAAATATAAACTCAGATTTAAAGCACTGAATAAATTTAAATGTTGCCAGGTTTTTACAATTGGAAGGTGCTATCTTTTTGAAAGTGGTGAGTCTTTTCTTTTAAGGTGGCCAATTTTGCAACCATGGAAGATGAGGAAACTGAATTGGAAGAACGATCACATAAGGACTGGGATGAGATCATTCCAGAGGATCAGAGGAAGAAAGTAGAGGAGGAGGAACGACAGAAAGAATTAGAAGAAATTTATATGCTGCCCCGAATTCGGAGCTCTGCAAAAAAGGTACATTGTTTTAAGGTGTAGTGGAATCAGTTGGATGGAAGGATCTATAACCATATGAACTTGCAGATTTGGATTGTGTCTTTCATTGAAATTATAAGCAAAATCCTTGGATTTGTTTTTTATATATTATATGATGAAGATGTTTTCATCTACAAGACATTCCTTTTTAAGTTTAGTTAATTTTTATTTTGTTTATTGGAGGTTAATTGAGGTTAATATGAGGTTAAGTTACTTGCCCAGGGTCACACAGCTAGTAACTATCTGAAACAGGATTTGAACTCAGGTCCTCCTGACTCCAGGGCTGGTGCTCTATCCACTGTGAAACCTAGCTGCTCCCATTCCTTTTTTTAGGAGGAGGACTATAGAGAATAGGTGACATGATTAGAGAATAATAGGATAGGCAATTAAATATCATGGATAGAATTTGGCAGTGGTGTTACAGCTCTTCGTTGGTTTTATGGATTCATCTTGTCCCATTGTATATTGTCTTCCATCTCTCCATAAAGCCCTATAAAGCAGGCATGTAAACATTCAGAGTAGTGCAGAGATAAGAAACTTATTTTTTTGTTCCTCTACCTAGGGCCATTCATCTGTGGGGAAAAAATATAATCATCAAAGGCCGCATAAATAGGAAAAATAAAGTTCTTTAATGAGAGAAAAAAATTATCATTTCTATGATACTTTAACATGCAAAACATTTTGCTTACGTTATCTCATTTGATTCTCAAAACACCCTTGTGAGATTGGCGCTATTATTATCCCCACTTTACAGATAAGAAAACTGAGGCTGAGAGAGGTTATGTGACTTCATGCAGGGTTACCTAACTAGTAAGTGCCTGAGGCAGGATTTGAACTAAGTTACTCCTAACTCCAGTCCAGCATTCTATCCACTGCATTACCTAACTGCCTGAAAAACACAGTATTTCACCAATCTATATTTTTAATTCAAAATGAGAACATAACTTTATTGAATAAATAAAACAGGAGGTAGAAACTTTTTTTTTCCAAGTCCCATGAACAGGCATTTATTAAGTGCTTGTTATGTGTTAAGGACTGTCCTAAATATTGGGAATATAAAGTAGGCAAAAGATAGTCCCTGCTTTCAAGAAACTCACATTCTAATGAGAGAAACAATATACAAACAGTTATGCCCTAACAAGACATATAAAGGACAAAATAGAGGTAATCAACAGATGGAATGCACTAGTATGAAGGGGGATCAGGAAAGACTTCTTGAAGAAGGTGACTTTAGCTGAGATGAAGGAAGCCATGAGACAGAGGTGACAACTGAGAGAATTCCAGATATGGAGACAGTCAATGAAAAGGCATGGAACTAGGAAATGAAGGGTCTCGTTCAAGAAACAGCAAGGAGGCCAGTATCGGTGGGTCACTTTGCATACATGGGAGTGAGCTGTAAGAAGACTAAAAAAGTGGGGTGGGCCTGGTTGTGAATAGCTTTGAATACCTAATAGGATTTTATATTTGATCCTGGGAGTCACTGGAATTTATTGAATAGATGGGTGATGTGGTTAGACTTGTGCTTTAGCGAGATCATCTTGATAGCTGAGTGAAGGAAGAATGGACTATATTGGGTAAAGGCTTAAGGCTTGGACCAACTAGAAGGCTTTTGCAATCATCAAAGTGTGAGGTGGTTAGGGCCTACATCAGGGTGTTGGCAGTGTCAAGAGATGAAGGTATATGGGAGAGAAGCTATAAAAATAACATTGACAGAAGACTTGGCCACAGATTGGATATGGAGGGGTGAGAGAAAGTGAGGAGTCAAGGATGACACCTAGGGTGGGAGCCTAGGTGACTGGGAGAATGGTGGTACCCTCTATAGGAATAGGAAAGATAGGATGAGGGGGAGATTTTGGGGGTGGAGGAAAGAAAATCAGTTCAGTTCTGGACATGTTGAGTTTAAGATGTCTATGGAACATATGGTTTGGGATGTCTCATCAGCAGTTGGATATGGGAGTCTGAAACATATGACGGCGTTAGGGCTATCTGAGAATCATTAACGACAGCAACAATAGCTAACATTTATATACTGCTTACTGTGTGCCAGGCACCATGCTAAGTGTTTTACAATTACTGTCTCATTTGATCCTCGCAGGAATCCTAATTTTATCCCATTTTACAGTTGAAGAAACCAAGGCAAATAAAGGCTAAGTGACTTGCCTGGCCCAGAAAACTAGTAAGTGTCTGAGGCCGGATTTGAAAGTAAAGCTTCCTGACTCCAGGCCCAGTGCTCTTGTCTACTGTGCCACCTAGTTTCCATAGAGACAATAATTGAATTTATAGGAGCTGATGAGATTTCAGAGTAAAATGATATACCAGGAGAAGAGAAGAGGCTACATAATAGAGCCCTGTGAAACACCCAGGATTAGTGGGTGTGACCTGGAGATCCAAGAAAGGCGATTGAGAAGGATTGATTAAAGAGTTAGGAAGAGACCTAGTTAGATTAATGTTCTAAAAACCTAGAGGTAAGAGAGTATCAAGGAGAAGAGGTTTATAGACAGTGTCAAAGGTTGTGGAGAGGTCTAAAAAATTGTACATTGAGAAAAAGGTAATTAGATTTGTTGATAAGGAGATCATTGGTATGGTAACTTTGAGGAGGGCAATTTCAGTTGTACTATGAGGTCCTAAGCCAGAATGTAGAGTTAAGGAGAGAGGAAAAAAAGTGGAGACACTGATTGTTGACAGTTTTCTCAAGAAGTATAGCCACAATAGGGAGGAGAGATGAGGAATGATAACTACGGGGATGGATGTATCAAGTGAGGATGGAGGAGACATGGGTATGGTTGTAGGCAGTAAGGAAGCAGCCTATATTTGTAACTTTCTACTCATGGCTATACTAATATAACCATGAGTAAAAAGTTACGAGCATAAACTTTGTTAATTTCATTCAAACACTTTATATTTAGATAGCCATAGTTCATAAAATACTTTCACATATATTCTGATTTGATCCTTACAGCAACCCTGTGAGGTTGCAACGTAGGTATCTTACTTCCGTCATAGAGATCAGAAGACTGAAAAAATAACCTGCCCAAGTTCAAATAGCTCCTTAGTGGCAGAAATAAAGCTCAAATTCAGTTCTTTAACTCACAGTTGAATAATAGACCTTGGTACTTGTTACACTGTTAACCTGCTTCTGGCTTTTTCAGGCTCAGGCTAATGATAGTGACTCAGATGTTGAGTCCAAAAGAAGGGCCCAGAGGTCTTCTGGTTCAGAGAGTGAGACAGATGACACTGATGATGACAAGAGGCCAAAGCGCAGAGGACGTCCTCGGAGTGTCAGAAAAGACCTTGTAGAGGGATTTACAGATGCTGAGATTCGAAGGTTAGTAGAGGCTTCAAGTCATACTTGTTTCAAATCATGTGCTACTTTGAATAAATTGATAGCATATGAATGCAGTCAGTCTGCAAACACTGATTTGCTTTGAATGATTAAAATTATGGCTGCATAGGTGGATTCTAATATCCCAAAAGAATGGAACAGAGCCCCTCCTGTAATGCCTAGACTTAAGTCTTCTGATGATTTTGCGTCTTGTTCAGCTTTTCTTGGTACTCCTTCTTTGGTTACTTCTAACATTATTTGATACAAGCAAAAAAAAAATTCTGAATGAACTGGTCATCATCACTATTAAAATAATTAGTATTATGCATGGAAGAATTTCGTATGTGTTCTAGTGGCTACAATGAAGGTAATATTATTTGTTTTGATAACCTCCTATCCTTGTATCTATTCCTCTACAGTGTTCCTCTTAAACCTATTCTTGTCCTCACAACCTCCACTCACTCCACCCCTTTTCTGCTCTTTGAAGTTCATCCCCTTTGCTGTGGCCTTATTTTCTTCCCTTTGAAATTTGACCCTTTTGTTATCAAGCTTAACTTGATAACTGTCTTCTGACACCTTTTATCCCTTCCTGTTGCTACATATGCCTTGCCCAATTCCCACCTCCTAGGCTAGCCCCACCATTACTCCATTTTCTGTTTTTGAGTGCTACCCAAAAAACTTTAATCTATTTATCTGTTTTTTTTTTCTGCCTACAAACATACTTAGGTTTCCACCACCCTTAAAAAAGTCAAGTAAACTTGACCCTGCTCTCCTTTATTTACCAGGCAAACTTAAATTTACAAAACAGCAATCAATCCCCTTTCTCCCATCCCTCGCTCATACACACAGGGAAAAACCAAACCAAAGTAATGTATATTCATTGTCTCCAATTCTTTATCTTCTACTTACTTTTTACTCACTAGTAACCTGGCTTCTGGCCTTATCCTTTCATTAAGATTTCTTTTTCCAAATTTATCAATGACTTCTTAATTGCTGGATCCAGTGGCCTTTTCTCAGTCCTTGTCTTGGGTGATTTTTCTTTATGTCACTACTGATCATTTTCTAAATACTTTCTTCTCCCTTGGTTTTCATTGTACTGCTTGTTTCTATTTTTCATTCTACCTATCTGACTGTCCCTTCTCAGTATCCTTTGCTGAATCATTATCCATGTCTCACTGTCAAGTATGGTTACATCCTGTGACTCTGTCCTAGGCTATTTTCTCTTCTTCCCTTAGATTTTTTCTTTTAGTTAACTCTTACCAGTTTAGTTTTCTGTGCAGATGACTTCCAGATTTATATAGCTAGACCTCCTGAGCTCCATTCTCACATGACCAGCTGCCTCCTAGACATTTCTACCTCAGTGTCCCATAGGCATCTCAAACTCAGAATGTCCAAAATGGAACCCATTTTCCCCTTTGCCTCCCTTCTTCCTCTTCGCTTTCCTACTTCCAGTGATCCAGGTTTATGATGTTAAAGAAATCCCCTTCACATTCCCTCAACTCAGATACCCTCTTTCCTCACTGCTCTGAATTTTGCTTGGCTGTGTTTATATGCCCCCACCTACACCCCTTTAAAGAGCTTACTCTTTGGTTCCACTTTTGTCTTTATACCCCCACTGTCTAGCATAGGACCTTGCCTGTAGTCGGCACTTACCAAGGGACTGTTCAATTGACATATACTATTGTTAGACCACTTTCTTACAACCTTTCTTTTTAAAAGTGCTATAAACCTGGTGTTTTTTATCTCACTGGTACCAAACCACTTTTTTTTCCCCAGCTCCATATTTCTTGTTTGCACAGGTTGAAGACAATAGACGCTGGGATTAGAATAATTGGCATAAATGTAATTGTGTTCATGACCATTTCATAATTCATAGAATGGAATTTACATGAAAGACTGTAGGTATTTGCATAGTGTTCCATGTTACTCAGAGTGAAGTGAGGGAACACTTCCAAGTGTGTATTTTAGATGTTTTGTCATTTTAATGTAGTTCTTCTTTATGCATCTTTACTGTTTTTCTTCTTAGGTTCATCAAAGCATATAAGAAATTCGGGCTTCCTCTTGAACGGTAAGTTCAGTAGTAGTTATCCACCAGATACTTTATTCACAGTTTAACCAAATCATGCAGGCTTTACTTTTACTGAATTAAAATACTCTATGATATTTTATATGCACCAGTAATGGAATCATTTATCTTTTTTTTGTAAATAGTATTTTATTTTTTCCAATTACATATAAAGATAGTTTTCAACGTTCGTTTTTGACAAGATTTTGAGTTCCAATTTCCCCCCCTCCTTCCTGTCCCCTATCTCCAAGATGGCAAGCAATCTGATACAGGTTATATATGTGCAATCATGTAAACACATTTCCACATTAGTCATGTTGTCAAAGAAGAAACAGAACAAAAGGGAAAAGCCACAAAAAACAAACAAACAAAAGTGAAAATAGTATGCTTTGAAATGAATTCAGACTCTGTAGTTCTTTCTGTGGATGTGGATAGCATTTTCCATCCTGAGTCTTTTGGAATTATCTTGGATCATTGTATTGCTGAGAAGTGCTAAATCAGTCATAGTTGATCATTGCACAATGTTGCTGTTACTGTGTATAATGTTCTCCTGGTTCTGCTCACTTCACTCAGCATCAGTTCATGTAAGTCTTTCCAAGTTTTTCTGAAATCTGCCTGCTCATCAAGCACAATAGTATTCCATTATATTCATATACCACAATTTGTTCAGCCATTCCCCAGTTGATGGGCATTCCTTCAATTTCTGATTCTTTGCCATCACAAAAAGAGCTGCTATAAATATTTTTGTATACATAGATCCTTTTCCTTTTTTGATCATCTCTTTGAGATACAAACCTAGTAGTGGGATTACTGGATCAAAGGGTATGCAGAGTTTGATTGCCCTTTGGGCATAGTTCCAAATTTCTCTCTAGAAAGGTTGGATCAGTTCACAACTCCACCAGTAAAGCATTAGTGCCCCAGTCACTTACCTTTCTTTAGATAATACTGGATACAATGTACATTCAAATCATTAGCTTTGGTACAGTTCCCAAGTGAAAAAACCATAAGTTTGTTATAATAATATATTCTGCTATACTTTTGAGAGTATACTAGTATTGAATTTGACAATCAATGTAGCAAAGAAGAAGCTGTATTTCAAGTAGTCTAGTATTCTGCTTTCATTTGCAAACTTTTTTTTTTAAAAAAAAATACTGTATAGTACATACAAACCCCTGTTGGGTGGACTCCTTGTGGTAAACTTATGGGACAACATGGACAGGAGTCACACAGGATGGGCAGGCTATGAACTGCATCATAGAAAGAACTTCCAAATCTATGAGATCACAGATCTTTTGAGTATTTGAGTCATATTACTGATGATGGAAATTGTCCTGATTCTTACTACTACTGATAAATGTTTGCTGTAGTACTTTGAAATTTAGAGTTCATGTAGCATCTCCTTTGGAGAAGGGATATTGTCCCTTCAGAAACAAATATCATTAACTCTTTCTTACAGACAGGAATACTGAAATACATACTATATATATTCCATAAGCATATGCACATACAGTTCTAGATATAGGAGTAGAGCCCAGCAATCTTAACTCCTAGGCCACTATCTGTATCCAAAGGATACATTTCTATAGTGGGACTATTTTTAAAACCCTGCTATTTTCTGATGTTTTGAGCCAAGGTTTCTGGCTGGTTTGGATAATGAATAGAGTTAGTTTCATTTGATTTTTGTTTTTTGATTAAGGGTTGTTGTATTTATTCAGATCTGAATGCTGTGAACCTGTTGGACCTTAGAGTTAGCTGAATTGATAAGTACAAGTGTCAACTTGTGGCAGGCAACACGTCTTCCTGGATGGTTACAGGGAAGGTCAAATATGTTTTTGGACCTGTGTCGCAGTGAAACCTAGAATCATGCCACAGTATATCTCATTGGAATGGAGAATGTCAGCTGCCTGGTAGAGGGAAGCCATATTATGCATCTCTCTGCTATTTGTAAAGGAAGGAAGGAAACAAGTATTTGTTAATTGCTAACTATGAGCCAGAAACTACTAAGCAGTGGGGATACAAATATAAGCCAAAAGAAAAACAATACTTGCCCTCAAGGAGCTTATGTTCTAATGGGGGAAAAACACACAAAAAGATGAAAAACACGTGAGTTGGGGGTGAAGGTACCCATTGTAGGGGGAACCACCTTAGAGGGGAGTGAAGGCAGGCTGGCCTGGGCTTTTCCAAAAAAAAAAAAAAAATTGGAGGCTCCTGGAGGAACACACTAGTAAGGGGAACAGGTGCAGAGGAATATCCACGGGCAGAAGGCAGCGTGGGTAGTAGGACATTTCAGGACAAGAAGACCCCAGGAATTAAGTGAAGTTGCAGGATGAGACAGTAGTAGAGGTATGATTTTGAAGTCTTTAAAGTCAGGAATAGGGATGGAAGGGCAATAAAAGCAGGCTGGTTTGGGCCCTTCTGCCAAATGAAGGTTCCAGGAGAAACTTGACAATGAGAGTTTCATATTGAAATATCTGGCTAAGGCATGTCGTCTGAAGTCAATAACATTTACTAAATATCCACTGTATGGAAAATACTTGGTGGAAGCCAGTTTTTAGGCACTTGATACATTCATGTACTTTATATACTTCTAGAATTAAACAAAACACATAATAGAAGTAATTCAATACGCAGCTTTTAAATATTATAAGAAATGGAAGTTAGGATAGAAGAGGAGTATATAGTGGACAAGCAACATTCTAATAAGATTAAATGTAACAGAAATACATATAAGGGTCTATATTTGGGTTTAGAAAGTAAAATGTACAGGAAAGCGTATCTATGACAGACCTCTAGGTGTTTTAGTGGATTGAAGAGTACAGTATATGAATCAACTCTGTGATTCATGTGTATCCTACATTCATTAATAGAGACCTAGTGTCCAGAATGAAGGTGGTTATAGTTTTTCAGGGTGGAATGGGCTACTTCAGGAGGTAATGGTTTCCTTATTAGTGGAAGTCTTAAGAAAGAAGTTAGAAAACCACCTGTCAGTGATGAAATGGACTTGGTTATGTAGGTTGGATTAGATGACTTCTGGAGTCTTTTCTAATTCTAAGATTCTTTGAACATAAATAACATCTGTAGTTTAAAGAGCTCATCATTATCACATCAATGGAATTCATCAATGTAATACTCCTCCAGAAATCGTATAGTACAGAGTACTAGTTTAATGCTTGCTCATCCTATGCAGTATGTAATAATGGCACCAATTATCATACAATCCAGATAATTTAAAAGTATGTAAAAAAAAAAACTCAAACTGCTCTTCTTTATTTGGGATATTCTCAGTGCTATTTGAAAAATGGAAAGTAAAAATTTCATGTACTTCATTCTTGCTTAGAGTGAGGAAAAGAGAGCAGGAAAAAAATTCTTACAAGAGCAAGTCAGAAGGGAATGATGCTAGGGATCTTTGTTCAATATTAGAGAAGTGGGAACAGCATCTGAAGTGTCCTAAATTTGTCATTCCACAGTCTAGAGTGCATTGCTCGGGATGCTGAGCTGGTAGATAAGTCTGTAGCAGATCTGAAGCGATTGGGTGAATTGATTCACAACAGCTGTGTGTCAGCAATGCAAGAATATGAGGAACAACTGAAAGAAAATGCCAGCGAAGGTAAGTCCAGAAGATCATTCTTCTGAACTCTGGTACATGTAACCCCAAATTTCCGCAAGTGCTGTCGTTCTGTGTCCTAATTCTTTATTTGCTGTAGCTGTTCTGACATTGACTTTGTGCCATCTCCAGTGATTTTAAGTTCATGGAGAGCTAAAGATGATACATATATAATAAAGAAGTTGACAACCAAATAAATATTGTTTGATAAATAGGAATTCAGTGGATATAGCATGCTAGATTCAATTCACAGTAGATCAATGTATGTGTGCATGTATGTATGTATAAGGCACTGCTGATAAGACAAAAATGAAAACAGTATCTTCCCTCTTAAGATCCTATATTTTACTAGGGGTAGGATATATACCCCACCCTCCTTTCTTGATTTGTGTGTGTGTGTGTGTGTGTGTGTGTGTGTGTGTGTGTAGATTTGTGTGTGTGTGTGTGTGTATATATATACACCCATATGTATATACATACATATAAATTCATATAAAGAGGGAGTGAACAATGGGGTATGAGTGCAGGTGTTATGTAATGTGATGCAAGGTTTCATGGAGGACAGAGTTATATAGGAAGCAAACCAGAAATTGTATGAAGAGTGGGCAAGGAAGGCTTGCCTTCTATACATTGGAGATAGCCTGTGCAATGAACTGAAATGGGTAGAATGTAGTGTAGTCAAGGAACAACTTTGTGGCAATATTTCTAAAATATATAATGCATCTGCAGCATGGATTAGAAAAAGGAGAGACTGAAAGCAGGAAAACTAATTAAGAGACTATTACACTAATCCAGGCCTGAACAGGAGTGGTGGCCTTTTCAGTGGAAAGAAGGCAACAGATACAGGAGGTGATTTGGACGTAGGATAAGCAAGAATATATATGAGTTGAAGAAGAGAAAAGAGTCAAGGATGGCTTTAAGGTTGCAGACCTTATTGACTGTAAGATGGTGCCCTCATCAGAACTAAGGAAGCATGGCAGCTGAGCAGTTAGAGGAGTAGATAACCAGGTATTTTAGATGTCAGTGGGACATCTGAATGGAGATGTCAGCTGGTTTTTGGAAATGTGGGACAAAAATTTGGAGAGAGACTAAAGTCATTAGACACACACACACACACATATGTATATACATATACATACATGTATAATAATGAGATTCATCAGTTTAGATATGATAATATGAAGAGACGAGGGGAGGGAGAGAATGTGATACAAGATCACAAGAAAGTATTCCATCTTGGCCCACTTGAGAAGCAGTCAGTGTTATTTTTTTTTACTTATAGCAGAGGCATTCAGTAGTATGGAGGTGAGGCTGAGAAGGTAAATAAATGAAGGTGGAAGGGAGATGGAAGCATAGGAAATTAGGATCTAAAAGAAGGATTTCAGAGTTCAAGATTATGGGACTAGTAAAGTGGTGGTATACCATACCTTTGGGTAGTTGAGCAATGTTAAAAATTTAGGATTTTAGAGGCTAAAGTAATCCAGGGAACATCATCATTGTTACTAAAATCACTAAGCGTGAAAGCAGGGGTTGAAGTGAAGAGGAACTGAAATACTCAACTCCTTGAAAAAAGAACATGAATGAACTGGAGGCTGATAGAGCTCAGCAAGAGAGAAGGTGGATTCTTGTCTTGTGGTGCAAGGGTTTCAAAGTAAAGTTGAATGAAACTCGGAAGTGCCGACTTGACAGTTATTACAGCTCATTCCTATTTTAGCTCCAAATGAATGGTGCCTTGTAGACCAAGTAAGTAGCAGTAGTATCTGGGGTTGACATAAAGCTCCTTATTGCCCTTATAAATTAAAAAGAGTTGTTCAGTTTATGTGGCTGTACTGTGATTTAACTTTATAGAACATTGCTTGAAGTGTTTCATTGGTTAAGTTTTGTAAATATTTTTATTGTAGTAAGGTTTTTTGTTACAATAGGATTTGACCTGTAGTAGTTGCTATTTCTCTGGGGAACTCATATGGTTCTTGCCATTGATGATGTGTTGTCCTATTTTTGTGAGTTCATGGATCTCAAAAATACTGTACAGCAGCAGTGGAAATGGGTCTTAAACTGGGTTCCATAATCCACTAGCTCTTGTGTAGTCCTGCAACTTTTGTTGTCCTATAGTTTCTCTTATGACATTCCACCTTTGCCTATACCTCCTTTCCCTAATCCATGATTGCCTTGATTTATTTTTTAGTAGTGAAAATAGTTTTTGTCTGTAGATCAGCTAGGAATCATTGAATTGGATGGCTATAGAAATTTGCTGTCATGATCAATTGATTTCTTCATATAAGAACCACAGAATACTTGTCTGTTGCTCCAATAAAACAGGAATATTTCATTATCTTCATTAACTCAATGCCTAGTTCCTGAGATATATTACTTCACATGAAAAGTAGAATGATCTCAAGGATTTCAAATTGAGTCATTTAATAGCATCATTTAGTTAGTAGTTTTTGGTTTTTAATTTTGAATCCTAATAAATTTTTTTTCTCTTTAACTTTAGGCAAGAGTTAACCTCATTGTCTATGCCTTAGCTATAAGATGTTGAGTTTTAACCTAACCATTCTTATAGTAAAAATCATTTGAAGGTTAGCTGAGTGATTAACTTATAAAGTACTTGGAACTTCTTTGAACTACCTATAAGATAACATTTTTATTATTAGAAATATTGAAAGAACTTCTGCCTAAACTTCTTTTTAAAATCTTTGTTTTTTAAAATTCTAAACTTAACAAGCACTAAAAAAAGGTCCTGTTCCATGTATGTAGCAGAACATGAAAGTATAAAGCTCTGTTCTATACTGCTTGCTTTTTTAAAAAAAAGTATATAATCAGTTCTACCTCTTAACTTTCAGAACTGTCCTATTTATTTAGTACTTCTGAACTTTTCTTTGTTTCTTATATGCATTTTAAAAAATGTTTCAATGCCCCTCTCCCCCCATTTGACATTACTACAGCTCTTACCACCTCTAATAAGAACAAAAAAATAAGTATAATTGCAGCAAATAAGTATAATCGGACTTCTGGCTAAGATGGCTGCCTGAAAGGGTGGCACAATGTGCAGCTGCCGCATACCTACCCCAGCAAAAACCTGTAGTACTAATAATGATCAATAAATCCAATGTGAAACTATAGTAAGTGAATTATTTCTACATCATAATTTCACAGAAAGTCAACCAGAAGCCCAGTAATAGGCTAGCAAAACCACCACCAGCTCAGGTTACCACAAGTATGATTAGAGACTTACTAGAAGACATATTGCCCGTAAGGCTCCATGACCAAAGGAAACAAGATCAGAAGGCTGCCCTGAGAAAGCCCCAGGGTTGGTACCTTGGGAATCGTGGACACTGAATCCATGTAGTGGAAGCAACCAACAAAGTGTGACAGTGCTCAGACATTGACATTTCTAGGCCAACCAGCTCTAAGGTCCCTAACATTCTATCCTGAGGCACCTGAGAAGGTCCTGAAGATACCACATTTGGACCATCAAAGATAGGGGGACACAGCTAATCTTAGAGGTAGAGATCAGTGAAAGAACCAAAATGACCCAGGTCAAGTAGGGAAGAGAAGGGTCCTGGACTGTCACAAAACCCCAATTCAGGAAGTAAAGCTAAAGAGAGGAATAAATTGATTGAAACACTCACCAGTATCAACAATGAATGTAAATCTAGAGATCTCAGAAAAGGAGTGAGTAAAAGAGATAGAAAATGAAATAATGCTTTTGAGGGGAAAAAATGGAAGGGGAATAGATATTTAGAACAGAAAGTGGTAAACCTTACCTAAGTAATGAACTCCCTAAAAAACAGAATAGGCCAAACAAATTACTCTACCAGGCAACAAGAACTATCAGGACAAAATAGAAAACAATTGAAAAAAAATTAAAGAAAATGTAAGATCTGATTTAAAAAACAACAGACCTGGAAAACAGGTCAAGGAGAAGTCAGTTAAGAATCACTGCCATTGGGGGCAGCTAGGCGGTACAGTGGATAGAGGACTGGCCCTAGATTCAGGAGGACCTGAGTTCAAATCTGGCCTCAGACACATAACACTTACTAGCTGTGTGACCCTGGGCAAGTCACTTAACCCCATTGCCTAACCAAAAAAAAAAACAAAAAAAAAATCACTGCCATCCCTGAAAACCATGATTTAAAAAAAAAAATCCTCAATGATATACTTAAAGAAACAATAAAATACCCAGGTCTATTAGAACTAGAGGTATATAAAAATAAATCTACCAATTACCTCCTTTAAAGAAACCCCAAAAATAATAGTCCCAGCAATGTCACCGTATTGTTAGTTTTTCCTTAATTTTTTTATTTTGTTAATTTTTTATAACATAAAAACAAAACAGTAATTAAAAATAAGAAGAAACAGGACAAAGTGAGATAGAAAGAATTCACCAATCACTTCTTGAACGAAATAGCCAAAATAAAAGTTCCACGAATGTCATAGCCCAAATCCAGAGGTTCTGGGTCAAAGAAAAAAATAAGCATCCAGAAAGAAGCAGTTCAAGTTACCAAGGGATCAGTCGGGATCACAAAAAACTTGACAGTTTCTTTAATAAATGAGATCTTGGAATACAGTATTCCAAAGACAACCTATATTGGCATACAACCAAGTATAACTAAACCTGCAAAGCTGAGTAAACATCATATGTATATTAAGTGTATCACTATTGAAATAGAGGACTTTAAAGCATTTATGATGAAAAAGATCAGAGCTAAATAGGAAGTTTGAGGTAAAAACATGAGTCAAGAAAAATCTGCTGCAGAAATGGTGAAAAAAATAATTTCATAGATTCTTAGATTATATGAATTGACACAGAGAGAAGTAAGCAGAACCAGGAGAAAACACACACACACACACACACACACACACACACACACACAGAGTTTGGTTTAGAAATACTCAACAGAGAAAAAAACAAACAAACAGAAAAAAAACCTTTCAATACAAGCAAGTGAAGAGGGTTAAGGATAGAGGATAATACTGGAGAGGGGAAAAATAAGAAAGGA